TTGACTTTTGTAAGAAATTGAAATAAACTTGGCAACATTGCTTTAGGAATTCGATTTTCTCCGTCCTTATAGTCCAGAATACCTTGAATATAGCACATAAATATGAGAAATTGGCAACGCTGTACAGCCTAAACGGGGGCTCACTTCAAATTGAAACTTTGCCTGGGAGTTTCCCTTACCATAAGCTTTCATTACCTTTGTCTGTCGACCAACTTGGGTGTACTATTCTGTTCACTGGACTAATAGTCCAGAATTCCTTGATTTTAGCGTATAAAAACGAAAAATTGGCAACGCTGTACAGCCTAAACGTGAAACTTTGCCTAGAAGTTTGCCTTACCATAATCTTTCATTTGAGCCTTGTCCCTTGGACCAACTCGGGTATCCAAAAAAAGGGGCTAAACTTGGCGAGGCTCTTTTCATTAATTTTCAGCCTTTTATCGCCAGGTTGAGTTTTAGGGCTATATTTGTTTGTATATAAATGTGTTCGCAGATTTTTTAGATGTAAAATATTTTTCAAATAAACGAGAAAACACACTAATTGTTTGGCTATCAGAAAGGGTACAGATACCATAATCATTTTTCATGGTTGATAAACAGATTTATGGGCGCAATTTAAGTTCAACGAAGAGACAGGTCTCCTCAATCCCAGGGTGTTTGGCATGAATTAACTAGAGTCCCTTAATACCCAGAGTAACAACATCTCGATTATCAGCTGACCTGGGCTAGCCATGGAGTCCCAAATGTGTGCACTCAAACGAACGATATTGAAGGATAAGGTGGACAAGAATCCTACCATGTCGGTCATTATCAACAACATCTACGAAACTGATCAAAACCTAACCAGAGAAATTGCAATAAAATGATTTGTGAAAAACTCCTCGGTGTTCTCATAACTACAATAACAATCTCAATTAGATCATAGGTAAATCACAATTAGATTAAGTTTCCATTATTTTTTTTCACATTCGACGCACCGCCATCTTGGTGCACTCATTTGTGGCTCCATGAACGAGAACCAATCAGAATTGGATTTTTTTTAGGCCACTTCACAGTAATGAAATGTCGTTACTCTGGGTATAAAGAAACCCTAGAATTAACCACAGTGATCTACGCTACATACATGACCTGACGAAATTCTCTCTAATCCAAGATAGGATTACCGTCCATTAAACAACATGGGGTATTAGGGTGCGGCTTAAACGACTGAAAAAAAAGAAAAGATGAAATCGAAGAAGGTCCAGGTGTCAATCGGTGATCGCATGGAAAAAAATGAGTTTAAAAAAAATTTGGGCGATATTGGATAATGTAAACTCGGTGCTCAAGTGGATTCAAATTTTGAATTTCAGGGATTTTTTCCCAAAATTCCACCATTTCGTGATGCACATAAAAATTCGAAATGTAAAGAGGTCCGGTTTTGAACCATTCAATACATTTAAAAAAATAGATTTCTCAAAATTTAGTCAAATTTCGACAACTTTAGCCCGATGCTCAAGTGGGTCCAACTGTTGGATAATACCGATTTTTTACTAGTTTTCGGTGAATTTGCAATCCTGCAAAAATACCATGGCCAATGTAATTTCCCAATGACCTGAATGATGTTGAGGCTTCCGTAGAGTGAAATAAGAATGAGAGAAACATTCGAGTGAATAGGAAGAAAGAAATAAAGCAGACGATTACAGACAGAGGCTATTTAAGCCCCCTACACACACCCCTAAAAAGGCTAAAAGCCCGGTTGTGGTCAACTGCGACTGGTGTATTGAAAGATTTAGTCAACACCCATGAAATCAATTACTGGATTTTAGGGACAATTTTTATAATCGATTGATAGAATACTAGTTTTAGTGTATTTTCCGAAGGAAAGATACACTATTGCGTTCTCCCTCATGGTGGGACCTAGACCTGGGACCATGTAAAGAGCACCGATCTCGAGTCGTAGATCACGAATATATACGTCATTCATTTTCTGTCATATATATATGTATGTATGTATGTATGTGTGTATGTATGTATGTATGGTTGGTTGGTAAATACATTTATTTGGTGCTTTAACATTGAAGCCATTAACACCGTAGATGAGGAGAGATCGTCAAAAAAACATAATTTATGTATGTATGTATGTATGTATGTATGGTTGGTTGGTTGGTAAATACATTTATTTGGTGCTTTAACATTGAAGCCATTAACACCGTAAATGAGGAGAGATCGTCAAAAAAACATAATGTAAATATTTAAGAAGTAGGAGTCACAAAAAGGGTAGTAGAAAATTAAAATTTAGGACAAGGAAAGAATGCATTAAATTTGGAGATGGACAAGGAAAGAATACATTAAATTTGGAGATTAATTCGTTTAAAAAAGGGAGGGATTTCATGAAAATACTTTGAAAGGATGGTATGGAGGTCAGAAAGTGGAGGGAAAATTTTGGATCTTATGTATGTATGTATGTATGTATGTATGTATGTATGCATGTATGTATGGTTGGTTGGTAAATACATTTATTTGGTGCTTTAACATTGAAGCCATTAACACCGTAGATGAGGAGAGATCGTCTATGTATGTATGTATGTATGTATGTATGTATGTATTTCAGCCAGCGTGAGGATTTTTCAGTTTTCAGAGCGTTGAGCGGCAGTTAATTTTTAAGTTTCTTGAAACGAAACTTCTGGGGTTTATAGTCCCCTAAGAGTATTTTTAAACTGTGAAGAAAAAATCGGAATACGTTAATTACTTTTCGCACAGCGAGGGGTTAAAGTGGGGGGAGGTTTAATTTTGTCCACGCGATAACTCGAGTAAAAATGAATATTTTGAGCTGAAATTTTGATGGTAGTTAGATATCTACTATGACTGGTTTCCTATTGAATTTCAGCGAAATCGGCCAACGCGTTCCATAATAGTTGCAATTTACCGTTTTTACGGGTGAGGGGGGGGTAGGAATTGCGCAGCCAAGGGGAACTGTTTCTTGAAACATATCTGTGGCAAGAGGGGTAGGGTAAATGATTTCATTCCCCAATGTGACACTGCCCTTCGGAAAATACACTCATGCCGCGGTAAATGCACGGACTACAAAAAGAACCGTCTCCTACTTGCCGGCAACCCCACGGAAAAACCCTACCGCTTGTGGCAGGGTTTTCAGAATATTAAGGGATTTTTCTCCATTGTAGAATCATGTATAGGCCGAGTCGCTCGATAAGGTGGAAATCTTTCAGATTTTTGCTATTTTTTCGAAAGACAGGGCAAGTTTTAAATAAAATTGGACCTTCATTTTCGAATATTCATTATATAGTACAGATAAAGAGAGTATGAAAATTATTTTGCCGAAGGTTGTTTTTGTGCCTGAGAGGGAGCCTGTGCCCAAGTAGGAAAACATGTTTTTGACAAATTTAACTTAACACTCTAGATTTTCAACTTAATTTTTAACCTAGAACTCTTAGACATCTGTCATGAAAAAGATTCTTTGAAAATTGAAGGCTCTATTTTTGCGTGCTTGCTGAGTCACTTAAAAAATTGGCGAGAATCGCTTAGATGTCTATGAGAATCATGATCTTTGACCCTACTAGGACTTCCTTTGAAGCACAAATACATCTCTCGGCGGAATGATTTTCATACGCCCTCTTAACCTTTTAAAAGAAGAGTCTCTGAAAGACAAAGGTCAAATTTTTGCTGCTCTGCAAGATCACTCAAAACAAGTGATGAAAAACAGGGACTTCTCTTATGGAAGATAAAGAGAGTTAGAATTACTTTGTCAAAGGAAGTATTTGTGACTCTCACTGTGTGTGCCCATACTAAGGTATACGACACGACTTTAACGACTTTTCAGCGATTTTCATCAATTATTTTGAGTGACTTGGCAAGGCAACAAAAAGTTGACCCTAAAAGTAGTACTGAACGTGAGATAAGCATCTAAAAATGACGGATATTATTAACCATGTTTAAAAAGTTCAGTGAAATATGCAAAAACAGCTTGAATTATGTGATGTTTTATTATTGACTCAAACTGTAAACACAGCACCCGATAATTTTCTTTTCTTTCCCCGAGGAGTGCTACAGCTCACATCAGTTTGGTATCAAGACTGAACTTTTCCCCCTCTAAATAATTTTGAAATTCGGAAGTTGATGTTCTTTGACTCACCCTCCGAGTAAGGAGGATTTGTGATATGTAATGATCAGTAGGCCCTTGGACGCTGTCGATGATCGCTTAATCTTTTTATATGATGAGATTTCAAAAACTCTTCAATGATGTTCAACCTCTGACAATAATTTTACTGCTCCATAAGTTCAAAAATGAACTCTTTTTCCGTAATGCTGCTCTGACAAAAGTTATTCACGGAAAAAGCGCAAGGAGCCCAAAATTTGAACTTCAATGGTCTTTTCAATGCGCTTTAGCGGATTTAATTTCAGTCATATAAAAAATTTACATACCAAACATTTTCATTATGAAATTTTTTCCTCTAAATTTAATTTACTTAAATTCTCCAATAACTTTTTTGGTCGAAAAATAAAAAATTAGCAAGATATTGGAAAAAAAAGGAATTTTAGGCCATTTTTAGGCTATTTTTTTCACAATGACGGTTTGAGTGGTGGAAATATCTTCACAAAAATGTGAAATTCCGATTCAGTGCCCAAAAATACCTAATGAGCACTCAACAAAAAGTTTTCCCCAAGAGCCCCTATCTTACTCCCGATTGTCTGGACTAAAACCCGAAAATGACGCTCATGCGCTAACTTTAATAAATTGAGCATTGGGTTAAAATCGTCACACAATCTTCGGAACAAGTTTAAAGTTGTTTCTTAGGAAGAGGTCATCGATTGACGGGCAGACCTAATCAAATTACGGACTTTCAAAAATAAACCACTCCCTAATACAGTATTCTACCTTTACTAAAACATACATTTTTAGATTCAGAGTTAACTTCAATTTCAGGCTTTCCAGTTTAAATGGTAGTTGCATGAGAAATCAAGGGGAAAAATTATAAAGAAGTACTTCAGATGAAAACAACTTTTACCAGTTCTTTGCACGGCCTAACAGGGCAAGGGCCAGAATGACAAGCCTTCCCGCAAAGATGTCTGCACAAAGCCCTAGGTTTCGGGCATGGCTGGCTGCAGGATTTTCCTTTCTTGGAGCAGGGGTCTTTATGGCATGGTTGGATGCATTTGTGCGTTTTACATGGCAATGGCTTGTTGCATGGCAAACCACATGAAAACTCCTTAATGTGGCATGGAATAGTGTTCCGAGTCTGCAATAGAATAAAGTGGATGGCAATTTGCAAACCAGTTCCTTATTGGCATTTTGTTAAAAAATCAGAAATTAACCCGAAATCGACAACTTTGGCCGTTTTGAGACCAGTATGCAGATTAAGCAATCGTGCTGACACCAAAATTAATATTTGATTTGAATTCTGAGCAAAAAACTGATTTAGAAGATTTATTTTACTTCAGTCTGATTTCATTGCCCGTAAAGACTTGAAAAAAGCCATAGGGCCAGGACTGTAGAAACTAGTTTTTTGCTCTCCAACATCTTAGGATATCAACTGATTTCAATTTTTCAAAACTTTTTGAAATAAAAAATTCTTTAGCACTGATAATTCACTTGCAATCATAAAATTCCGAAAAAGGTGTGGCAAATGATACCCCTTGACCTTGAAGGGACTACCCAGAGCTCTAATAAACTTCATAGCCGCATAGGTTTTTTTTTTCATTCAGATACGACTAGAAGTCATATCTTCAGGGGAAGTAGCATTTCTGCTTTAACAAATAGCAACATAGTAACAAAAACAACAATGTATGGGAAAACATTCCATCTCCTCACAGGCACCCAAAAGGTTATTTCAATTTTAATTTTCCATCAAACAGGGCTTCTTGTATGAAATTGCCCCGAATCCAGCCTCCATTACCTGAATTCTTCTGCTGAACAAAAAGATTCTTGTTAAATAGCCTCAATGTAGATATGATGGATTTGTGTAACATTATCCGAGTCTCCCTTCAAATTTAAGGTTTTGGGGAAAAAAGGGAGTCCTCGCAGGAATTTCCTCCAGAACAACTTTTTAGGGAAATACCTTATTCTAAATCGACCATTTTCAATCTCGACCTGATCTTCGAAATGTTTCTAGGTCGATAGAGGGATCACTTCCTTAGTCCAAAACATTGGCAATTTTTGAAATCGGACAGGAGTGGGAGGGGGTCAAACTCAAAACTTTAAGCTGGCATATCTCCTGAGCAGGTTGTCGTAGAGAGATTATTAAGATCTCAAAATTTAGCATGAGATGATGACAAAGTTGCCCCATTGTATCAGGATTTTCCGTAAAATCGATTTTCTCGTAGAAACAGGGGTTTCCAGGGAAAATTCAATTTTTAGGAAATTAACGATCGACTTGTAATAGATGTTTTTGATGTGTTTTTACGTTCTTTCCGAAATTGTACACGGTTTCTAGATGAAATTAAGTTTCACACACGTAAACTTGAAAAAACCCCTAAAAATTGGTGAAAATTGGCAACAATGGACCGTTAGGCCTTTTAAAATTCACAGGAAGCCATTTTTATGGCCAGATATGAAAAGTACGTAGAAAAATACATATAGTTCACACCCATAGAGGGTGACTAAGGTCGAAAAACATTCAAAAGAGCTACCTTCAAGTATAAAAAGGCCGCTAAAATCGACATCTCGGTCAATTTTCACATCGTGGGAATCCAGGTACAACTATGATATTTTAATATGTAGTATGGATGGATAAGAGCTGTTACCTGGTACAATATGAAAGTTGTACTCCCCTTTCTTGAACCTTAGGCGCGGCGATTTATCGATTTTTTGCCCTTTTTGACACTTTGGGACCAATTTTCTCGGAAATTTGGCAACGTAAGAAAAAAATTTACTGAACATTTTTTATTCATTTTTTTACGTTCTTTTCAAAAGTGTACACAGTTTTTGGATTAAATTAAGTTTTGAATGTGTTAAATGGAAAAAACCCTAAAAATCGGCCAAAAATGGCAGCAATGGGCCATAAGGTCCCTTAAAATTTATCAAAGGCCTTTAAAAAGGCTAGAAACGGAAAGTACGCAAAAAAATACATAGGAATCATCTGCTGGAAGAGTGATAACAGTCAAAGGTCGACGAAAATAATTATTTTTCGATTCCTGGGTTGATGGGTTTGAGGCGCTGCTGCGCCCTTGCATGGGCTCCGTTCGGTCTAATATTTGGCACAGAGTCTACCTAAGACTAGAACTTTGAAAATATGAAACATTTAGCAAAATCCAGGTGGGGCCGGAAAAGGCCCAAAACGATACTCCTCCTTTGGGCCACCCTAGCACCGCGTCTACTTTAAAAGATCATAACTTCCTTCCCAATTGTTTCCCCAGGATGAACTTGTGCTTGTTTTGAAGCCTAAATAGTCTATTTTCTTAAAAAATTAGTTTGGTTTTTTTTTTATGCTATCCCCTCAATGCCACGGCTGAAAGTGTGAAAAATTGAAAATTTGAACTACCACAACATGGCAACAATGAATGAAATGTTCAGAATGGACAGACTTCGTAATTATCACCTTAAAGCTGGTTATTTACTCTCAGATTGAGATCAAGATCATCTCTCTACAACAAACCGTTCACGAGGTATGGCAGTTTAAAGTTTTAAATTTGACCCTCTTCCCCTCCCCCCCTAATGACCCCATTTTAAAATTGTCAGTGTTTTGGACTGGGATCCTCTATCAACCCTGAAAATATTTAGAAAATCAAGCCTAGGTTAAAAATGGTCGAGTTTGAATAAGGTCCTTTCAATGAAATCAGCCTGTACTTCCTGATGATTCCTGATCAGCAGTCTTAAAATCCTTGACAAAAGTCCTACTTAACAACCTGAGATCACATATGCTGCTACAGAGATATTCACACCTGAATAATAACAGATCAGGTTATGCAAATCGCACACAGAATGCACGAGCACCCATCAGAATATATGAGCAGCATAATTAAGAGATTTTTAAACATATTGGTAATAGAGGTATCTAAGTATAATATATTAAATCAGAAAATACCCAAAATACCTGGGAATGTGGCCATGATACCTTTTTGTATTGCTTTATTACTTCAAAGATAGCAAAGCACTTTTTGGTTTACAAAAACATCTTCAGGCACTACCAGAGAAACTACAAAAAACAACAACAACAATAACAACAAAAGAAGAAAAGCAAATATACTTTAATAAACACAGCATAATGAAGAAGTTAATTACACAAAAATTTCAACATTGATTCTACAAGAAAATGAAATTACAAGCAAAGCAGGCAATGAGTTAGGGTCTAGAGGTATGATAACAATTATGATAACAAGAATCTATAAGTATCATTACAAGTAGCCCTATTTATGGAAGAAAACACTCATTACATATGCTTCTATGAATAGCCTATTAATTTGAACATTCCCCGCCTTTAAATCAAGTTGTATATTCAGTAGGGTTTGATTATCGAGCATTGCTTTTCGAATTTCAAACTTTTCTAGAGTTTTTAAAAAGTTTCGGTCTGTGGTGGTATGACGCACAGGTGGTTTTTATCCATAATGTGCTTCTATACGTTTGAAGTATCTTTGGATAAATGTCCGTTAAACGTTGCTCGTATTGAGCGTTCCGTCTTTCCTATGTAAAAAGGCAGGCATGAACTACATTTAATCTTGTACACCCCGGTCTAATCAATTCTATCCGGACGAAGTCTCCTATTATTTTCTTCTATTGCATGTTTACAAGTGCTTTGTGTTCTGAGTCCTGGGGTATAACCAAATCTTTTGAAAATATTCCCTATCTCATTACGTACTTGCTCTATTGAAATAGGTGATAGGAAGGAATCTCCCTCTTTCTTGAATGGATTTCCTAGGTTGATTTTTGCTGTCATCATTATTTAATACAGCATTTTTTTGTTCAGCAATAAGTTTATTAATGATGTATGCTGGGAAACCATTACTTGCACCTAATTGAAGTATGATATTAATTTCCTGTTGTAGATCATTTTCACACATAGGTGTGTTGAATGCTCTGTGCGCTAAACTACAAATTGCTGCATACTTACATTGTTTGGGATGATTAGAGTCAAATGGAATTAAAAGATCAGTAGTTGTTGGTTTCCTGTAAATATTGATAGACATTTTGTTATTGTTACTTACATAAACCGTAAGATCCAAGAAATTTATAGACTTGATACTAATCATATGCTCTACGGTAAATTGCATACATGGGTGGATGGAATTAACACATTCGAAGAAACTGTTGACAATTGTATTCGTTCCTTGGAAAATATAAAATGTATCATCTATGAGGCGAGAGTATTTCTGGATATTTTTGTAAAAAGGATTTTCTACCCCCATTATACAGGGTGATCCAAAAGTCCCTTCCACCCCCTCTAACTTTTTACCTAATTGAGATAAAAATTTGAAACTTGGAGGATATTCCTAGGTCAAAGGGAGCTACTTTTTGGCACCCCTAAAATTTTCAGGGGGGCCCCCCTTGGGGGGGCAACGGCCCCCAACTTTGAATTTTCAAATGGGAAGACCCCCTTTGTGATAGCTCGTTCGAAAGAGCATAAAAAAAGGAAACTTTTCGCGCAAACCCGAAGTCAATATCTCAAACCGTTTCAAAATGGCGGCCGGTTAAAGTTCAAAATGGCCGAAATTTCATACCGGTTATTTTTCGATGGATTTGCGCGAAAATCGGTATGTAGGGGTATTTTGACACGAGAAAAACGAATTTGACGTTAGATTTTCAAAAAAACCGAAATTTCCAAAATGGCCGCCGGTTAAAGTTTAAAATGGCCGAAAATTGTCACCTTGGGTTTTTCCTGATGGATTTGCCTAAAACTTGGAATTTGAGAGTAATTTGGCATAAGATAAACACATTTGAACTTAGATTTATGAAAAATAAATTTTTGGTCATTTTGAACTTTAACCGGCGGCCATTTTGAAAATTTTGTTTTTTTTGATAATCTAACGTCAAATTCGTTTTTCTCGTGTCAAAATACCCCTACATACCGATTTTCGCGCAAATCCATCGAAAAATAACCGGTGTGAAATTTCGGCCATTTTGAACTTTAACCGGCCGCCATTTTGAAAGGGTTTGAGATATTGACTTCGGGTTTGCGCGAAAAGTTTTCTTTTTTTATGCTCTTTCGAACGAGCTATCACAAAGGGGGTCTTCCCATTTGAAAATTCAAAGTTGGGGGCCGTTGCCCCCCCAAGGGGGGCCCCCCTGAAAATTTTAGGGGGGCCGAAAAGTAGCTCCCTTTGACCTAGGAATATCCCCCAAGTTTCAAATCTTTATCTCAATTAGGTAAAAAGTTAGAGGGGGTGGAAGGGACTTTTGGATCACCCTGTATGCTGCTCTTCTAGATGCATTAGGAAAATTTGAGCCGAAGTCCCTAATAGGGGTCCGCCCATTGCTACTATTTCATTACAGGTGTAAAATTCATCTTTATAACAGAAATAATTTTGTTTCATTACTGTAGTGACCAGTAAAATTAATTCTATAATTTCGCTATCAGAGACCTTTTTACTATCTCTTAGTTTTTCTTCAAGGATGAGTTCTGACTCATCTATTGGGATATTTGTATACAGGTTTTCAATATCAAAAGGAAACATTCTTTGCCCACTACCCCGTTTTCTTTTATTTATTGTTCTAGCGAATTGTGTGCTAATGATACTACATTTGTTGGTAACAGGTATTAAAAATTTTAAACATCTGTCCGGTTTAGTCAGTTTGTATGTTGGTGAATAGATAGCATTTACAAGAGGCCTGATGGGCCTAATGGCCTTATGTTTGTTATCATACCTCTAGTAGTGGGGCTGATAAGTGAAACATATCATAAGAATCGTGCACTTCTGGAAGAAAGCATGAAAATTTCAGGGATTCATCTCTACCCTATAGACATTCGATTTAGACGTAGACCCCAAAAATCTGAGTCCCCTAGGGGGGGGGGGGGCAGGGGGCCCCCCAAATTTTGAATAACTACTGAACGGCTAATGATAGTGTAATTTTTTTACAGCAGGACAATGAGTAATTTTATTAAGAACAAAAATGGTTCTTAGGAATTTTTCAGTGGGATCAATATTTAAGGTGTGACACGGGAAAAACCATCGGAGGACGGGGAGCCGGCCATTTTGAGGCAGATCCGCGGGCTGCACTGCCTGCCCGGGACGCGCGCGGCGGCGCAGTACGGTGTTACCGACGAAACAATCGCGTGTCTTTGTTTAATCTCAACGATGCGCACTTTTAGAAATAATTATGAATTTACCGTACTGCCTAAATACTTTTTCTCAGGAATATAAGCCCTACTTTTTATTAGTAATACATAAAAACAAACAAAAGGTGAAATACTCGACCGATATGAGAGTGCCGAGTCAATAAGAGGGGTAGGTCATTGCGCATCACGCATCTTGTTTTCTCTGAATACAGAGCTTTCCCGACCTAAGTACAGAGTAAATTACCCTTTCCTCACTTAATTTTTGTAAAGGATTACATTTTTTAAGATATTAGAGAGAAATAACAAGTTTTAATAAGATTTTGACCCACTTTTTCATGACTATTGGAAATGGGATCCTTGATAACTTTAGCGTAGAGTATAACACTGATCAAATTAGCTTCAGAGATTAGCAGAAGGTTAATTTCTCGTCAAAATATCAACGAATCAATCAAAATTAGTGATCAGTTGCAAAATTACCAAGATTGAGGGATATCGTGTGATGCGCTATTTTCTTGATGACTTGAGGGCAGGATAGGTTCCCAGTAGGCGCGACTTCCTCTTACTCAAATGACCATTTCCCAGATTAGCGGATATTGGCAGCTAATTATTACTTGATAATATTCCGTATACTGTACAAGAAGCAGTCTAAAAAAGGTTTTTTGGGGGTCTTTTATCCCTAAGAAGCTTTCTCAAGATTCTTTTGGCGTTTTTTTGGAGCAAGTTTTGAAGGTGGTTTTGGTCCTCTTAAAAGAATGCCTATAAGTAGCAATGATATACCAAAATGCTCTTTCAAGAGAGGAGTATAGGCATGTTTCTATGTATACTAGTTTTTTTTACAAAATTAGGTTCCCTGTCTTAAAAGTCTGGCTAGAAGCCGTCTTTCGAGAACTTCAGGGTATGTAAGCATATTTAGATACCTACCATCCTGGTGACGCAGCACCGAGAAAAAGCGAAAAAAAAAAACTTTAAAATCATTTTTCAGGTCATTGTGGTATACAAATAAGATTTGTGACTTTCAGATAGTACGATATATTCATAATTATTTTTAAAAGTGCGCATCGTTGAGATTAAACAAAGACAAGCGGTTGTTTCGTCGGTAATACCGTACTGCCGCCCCGCGCGCGTTCCGGGCAAGCAGCGCAGCCGGCGGATCTGCCTCAAAACGGCTGGCTTCCCGTCCCCCAATGGTTTTTCCCGTTTCACGCCTTAAATATCGATCCCACAGAAAACTTCATAAGGACTGTTTTTGTTCCTAATAAAATTACCCATCGTCCTGCTGTAAAAAAATTACGCTATCATTAGCCGTTCAGTAGTTAATCAAAATTCAAAATTTAGGGGGCCCCCCTGCCCCCCCAGGGGACTCAGATTTTTGGGGTCTAAATCGAATGTCTATAGGGTAAAGATGAATCCCTGAAATTTTCATGCTTTCTTCCAGGAGTGCACAATTGTTACGCTTATCGGCCCCACTATAGGCACTTATTTTCATTGCTTGCTTTGCATGTAATTTCACTTACTTGTAGAATCAATGTTGATATTTTTATGTAATTAACTCCTTCATTACACTGTATGTATTAGTGTATACTTGCCTCTTTTTTTTTTTTTTTTTTGGAGGTTTTTTTGGTAGTGCCAGAAAATGGTATTGTAAGCTAAAATGCGCTTTCCTATAAATGAAGTAATAAAACAACACAAAAAGGTAACGTGGCTACATTCCCGTCAGGAATTTTCCGATTTAATATATTATAATCAAGAGATTGACAAATTTAAAGTTCAGCAAATTTTACCAATAAATGGTCTCCATGAGAGGACTGCACCTTCCTTCACAGTTCCGCAGAATATTTTCCAGGTTAAAAAACAAGGTGAGAGGATGAAATTCTGAATTATCTCTATCTACAACATCGTTCCTTTGTCATTGGGCGTTTTAACTATTGTCAAAATGATCATCATAAAACAAAGATTTCAAATGTATTAGTGAGAGAGGCTGATGTAAGGTAGTGAGGACGCAACGATAGATACGTAAGTAATAACACTCAGGGAGCCACCTTGTGCACCAACAGAATAAAAGATGCAGGACAAAAGGTCAATTCAGACGAATCATGACTAAAAAATCTCAAGGCTTTCGAACTTGAGATCATTATGGCTATCACTTGGAGATGTTACCATAAAGTGAGGATGGAAAAAGTGATTCTGCTGGTGCAATGACTTGATTACCTCATGACCACCAAAACATTTGCGAGTTGTTAGAGCCGGACACGGAGGACAGGTTGTTCCTGAGTGGCAGTTGTGAGTCTGTTCATGTTTGCATTCATGTTCCCTCAGGCAGGGACCATTACACTTCGGAGGACGTGCTCCGCAAGGAATGGGAGGAAGTGACACAGTTTGGCCACAGTGGCAGGAGAGTTCCTCAAAACCTAAAAGGACAGAGAACACAGTGCTAATCCACAGAGTTCCTATACATTAAGATTCAATCTGTCAAGTTTTAAGCTTATTTTTCGATGTCAATTGAATTCTTTTACAGCAGGCTGCCTAATTGGGAGCGGCCTGTACGATGCACCTGCAGGATCAAGTCATTTGTATGCTCTTTTGGCACTCCTTCTGTTGGGTGGCAATGTAGAGCGAATTATTTCCCCTCAATAAAAAAGAAATTGCATTCCTGTGTCTTGAGGGTTTCCTTAAGCAGGCAGATTGTGTGCAACAAAAGAAAATACAAATAAATGATTTACTAAATGATCTTGTAACGATCAATCAAATGTTGAACATATTGAAAATTATTGTATACAGCTTGTGCGATCAGTTGGCAATCTTCTGTACTTCGCTAGAGCAAAATATAATTCTTTGAAGTTTGATAGGCGGAACCATTCTTGCAAGGGCCATCCAAAACGTGAGTTTACACAGCTCATATTGTAGTGGTACGGCTATAACTATGGATTTTACCATTCTGCTACGAAGGAACGAGCTATGTTGTAGGAATCCGTGAGTTATCACTAGTTTTTGCAAGCAAGGTGGTTCAAATGTACCAAGACAGCTTGGATTTTTCGGGAGTCAATTTAGGTGACATATGGAAGTTCTAGTAGAAATGACCGCCAAATGTTGGAATGATTAAAAGTTGCACACTGTATTGGAAAGCTAGAGCTTTCTAATGGTGCATAAAGAGGCATGTATACTTTTCCGCAAGGTCAGTCTTGGACATTCGTTTCATTCGGACTCTGTTAGCCCCTATAGCCATTATGCATTCCTGCACTTCAGGCTATACAGAGAAAAGCAGCATTCCTGCGCATTATCTGGTTGATAGAGTTCATTACGGATTTTGCTGTTTGTTGATTTAGTTTTCCTTTTAGATAAACTGTTCCCACGGAGAGGCATTTTTTAAAGCCCGCCTCATCTCTCATTGATCCCTTTCAATGCAATGTCTCAGGAAAAAAAAAGGATAATCATACTTGTAAGAAAGGCCTGCTTTCTGATGTCCTGATTGCTCCACAGAACTCAAGTTTTTCAAAGGTTCAACGCTGGTGCACAAAGTACTCATACTCCATTCTATCCATTTTCTCTGTAAAGGGCATGTTTTGTGGCAGCGCCGCATTTGCATACATCATCTCAATGATGCGCGTGGCATGCCGACGCGCCCGCTTGAAGCAGTACCAACTTCGGCCGCTAGTTACAGTATGATCGCTTGATTTCCTATCGCAAAGTTGCGCAAACGAGCCTGGTGGGGAGTCGTCGATCGACTATAAATAGTGGCCGGGGCATAGGCCGGACACACAGTGTTGATCAGAATTTAAAAGAGACAGCTCGTCCAGATCTCGGCATAGACCCGTTCCTTCCACGGCATCCGTATTCCTCCACGGCAAGAGACCCGTATTATCCACCGCCCGGACCCGTACTAGCATCTTAGCATTTACTTGGAGCTTTAGAACTTTTTTTTTTTTTTGCTTTGAAAGCGGGGATAAAACCAAGTTCCTGCAACAACTGCTGCATGTGCCAGGAACGGGCGTCCAGTCCCACTCCCCGACAGCCGTAATCAGCTGACAGGGGTTCGAGAGAGTCACCCGCACCCTGCACACACGAGATTGAGGCATGCATGGTCAGCAGCGCGCGAGTGGGTTCGGACCCCGACTAGAAACCTCCACACCCCCCAGTCACAAGGACTGGTGGTTCTCCCAGCAAGATATCCCGACCAGACGAGGCAGGCCCGATCGTTTCTCTCGCGGGTATGCAAAGGCGTCAGAGCTTTAGAACTGTATATACATATATATGAATATTCATATATACATATTGACGGTGAAACTACCAAACCACGTATCTCGTTTGCGGTGTTTAAAAATCTACGCTTGCATTTTATTTTTTCGAAGTCGACCAAATCAATATCATTCCTTGAAATTTTCACAGAATTTTCTCCGCACAAAGAGGAAAAAATCACAGAAATTTTCAAGCCTAGACGTTAAGTAGTTTTTTATTTAAAAAATAAAGTATGACAGGAAGTCTGCGACGTCGCAAACCGAGATACGTGGTTTGGTAGTTTCACCGTCGATATATGAATCAAACGATTTGTTCTGACCGTCATTTATATGAAATGCAGTTTTTTACGAGGTATCGGTCACCAGTTTTTTTTGTATGGATTTTGCCATACTAGCGAGAACCTCATTTGAGGAGAGTTGGGTGTGGGTAAAGAAATCAGGCCTGTTGTCAGCGCCACTACCGGTTTCACGCTAGTCAGCGATCGTCAGGTGTGCATGGACGGCCAGTCTCGATTTGAAGCTCGAACACTCCGAGGTGCCACGCAAATCAGAATGCCAAACTCCGGCGGGAGCCACACTAGCAGCGCGGCTCACGCCACTCTCCTCAAATGAGGTTCTCGCTAGTATGAGAAAATCCATACAAAAAATATTAGTGACCGATACCTCGTAAAAAACTGCATATGTATATGTATATATATATATATATATAAAACCAAATGCAACATACTAATACATTTTACTTAGAATATGTGTCAGTATAACCCTCGCTCATCATTACTCAAAAATCCAACAACCACCCCCCTCACAGTTTCAGACATTTATTTTTTACTTGTCTGGTCATGGTATGAGTAATGACGTTATTTAAGCACCTTACTTTAGACAGGAACAGTGAAAGGTTACTTACTGATATTAGAGCATGGTAGGCAGTTGCCCGGATGACAAAGCATTTCACAGACATGTAATCCACAAGTGAGTCGACGATTGCAGATAGATGGACAAATGTGCTCTGTGTCAATGCAACAATTTTTATTGCATTTGTGCCTTCCACAAGTCCGTTTCTAGAAAAAATTGAAGTGAAAAAAATGAGAGGAAATATTGGAGAACATTATAAAATGCATCTTTTTTCAATTTCTAACAAGTTCACAATCAAGCTGGTCATAGTGACTGGCTTTTCTTGGACCATGCCAGCTGAAGCAGTCAATAATAACCGGCGCACTATGGTCCCAATAGCCCGATGTAAGCGGCATTAAATCAGATACGTATGTTTAAACCTCGCAACATGAGTTTTCAGGGGTATTTAGAGTCGCTGAGTGCTAAAATGCTAATATTCTTCAGGAAAAATCCATTTTTAACATTTTTATACTTTATATAACTGTGGTAATATTTTGTTCAGAAACCTTAAATTGAGGCTCCTACACCAAGCTGTCGCGGTGGAGCAGTGGACATCGCGTCTCACCTATCTTCTTGATGTCCCGGGTTCGATTCCCGGAAGAATTTTTTTTTTATTATGAGTTTAAAAATTAATTTTGCATTGGATGGACTATAAGAAGCTAAGAGTAGAGCCTCGTCAAACACTACTATCAAGGGAACTTGAAAAAGACAGGTCAGGATAATACTTCAACGTTTCATGGCTCCAGAGGCCTACTTTCAAGTCCCACCGATCAGCCGTTTGAACTTGTTTTCGTCTGCCAAGCTAAACTTAAGCTTAAATATATCCATTTTGATAGATTATTTGTTTGAAACATGGGTAAACGTAAAAAAAAAAAGTTTACGGGACCTCAAAGTGGCTTCCTAAAACCATTTCATTGCTTTGGAGCCTTACTTTCGAGTCCCACCGATGAACCGTTTAGACTTGTTTTCGTCTGCCAAGCTAAACTTATGCTGACATATATTCACACTGATAGATTATATGTTTAAAACACTTAAAACGTTAAAAAAAAAATTTTACAGGGCCTCAAAGTAGCCTCCCGAGGCGATTCTTTGCTGTTCTTGAGCTTAAGTTTCAATTGGTCCCGATCAACCCCATCAACTCGTATTATTCTGCCTCGGCAGATTTAGGCTCTAATGCATTCGATTTGCTAGAATATGACAATGGAACATGATAAAAGTCATCGTCAATGGCATATGATAGTAAATTGTAGCAAGTGATAAGAAACGCGAAAACGTCATTTTTCATGAGAAATAACTTGAGGCTATGATGTGTTATTGATTTGCCACTCAGACTAAAAGGTAGTCTAGAGTCATGACAATAACTTCCGAATAAAATTACGAGGTGCTCCGAGGTGCAAAGGATATTTTTTGGGTCCTACTTTTGCGATTTTATTGAAAAACTGACTATGTCTAGGGGTTAATCTAGAGCATTAGATATGATGAAAAAGAACAGTTTCAGCATGAAACATCTTAAACTTATCTTATATTTTGTGAATCAAGTGCCCAAACACTTTTAGGTACGGTGAAACAACGAAAACAAGCCCTTAAACACAGCACTGCCGCTCGGTAACTGGAATCGCACACAAAAGTGCTCCGCGTGCCGCACTTCCCAGGCTTGTCACATCTTTATTAGTGCTTTAATCGAAGTGAAATTTTACAGGAGTCTTCTCTACAGTATGTACTATCGATCTACCTCTTAAAATCTAACTTTTTCCGAACTTCACTTTTTCGATTTATTGCCGCTTAAACCAGGCTATTGGGACCATGGTGCGGCGTTTTGAACCGAAAATTTTCATGACGACATGTGATAAAGGCGCTGTCTGCACGGATCCTTCCCAGACCTGAATGGACTACATTTTGCAATTGCATCGTATCGTGCGAAAATTGTAAATGCCCATTTTTTCCAAATTTGAGATTTCCAGGTTAAAATGATCTTGTAGGTTTGGTAAATTCATTAATGTGGTGAGAATGTTAGTGTGTTTTCCTAAGAAAATACATTATTGCACTGTCCCATGATGTCGGATCCAGACCTGAGACCTGGTGAAGAGCACCGATCACGGGTCATAGACCACGAAAATATATGCATTTCAAATTTAAATTTATATAAAGAAAAAGAAAAGAAGAAAAAAAGAAGGCTAAAATTACAAATGAAATTTTTGAGACGTTTCGCCCAAAATCTCAGGCATTTTCAATCAATAAAAATAAAAAAGGTGAAAGCACAAAATTACGGTCGTCTATCAGATCGGAGTAGCGAGGAACTGACCGGTGATTTTGTAATCATCGAACCGGTGAACAAACTAAGAGATTAATAGAAGGATCTCTTCACACACACTAGTTGGACCTGTGTGGCTCGAAAAACTGATGGTAGGCAACACCAAGTTTTTCAACATCAGCCCAGTAGTTACAAGTTCTATTGCCGTTTTTAATAATGTGTGTCGTTTCCAATATGGTTCTGGCGTACTCATTGGACTTACTACCCAAAACTTTGGTGTTTGCAAAATCAAAAGCATGACCGCTGTTATTTTCATGCTGATGAAGCGCCGTGACCTCTTTTTTATCTCATTTGTGAACATTAAGTCTTTTTGACAATTGCTGTTTTGTTTGGCCAATGTAGGTACGAGGGGTATTCGTATAGTAAGTTAATATTTGTCATATCTTCTAAATTAAAAAAGATAATTTAAATCTGTAAAGAGTTTGTGAATTGTCATACTCTCAGCTTTCTAAAAAGCTTCAGTTTTTTAAATTTGGTCTTTTGAGTGCCGAGTGACATCAGTTTTCCCACACCCGTCTCTCACCACCGCGTGTCCAAAATTGACGCGCGCTGGGGAGGTCACAGGACGGTAGCATGCGACTTCATCCTGCAAATTGTCAAAATGGAATTTTTGGTTTAAAATTTAAAATTTCCATGTTTGTGAAGATCTGGCTTTACTTTTCCACGTAATCCCCATCTCGTTGGACACATTTTACATACCATGACAAGAGCTTTTTCACTCCATCAGCGTAAAACTGGCGATTCCGTTTTTGCAACCACTTTTGTACAGCTTCTTTCACCTCATCGTCGTCCACGGAACTTTTTTCGCCAAAACTCCTCTCTAGTTCAGGTAATAAGTGATAAATCACGTGGGGTGAGATCCTAAGAATAAGAAGGACGTGGGAAAGGTCTCATTTTAAGGAGGTCAACAACTGATTGGACACATGAGCTGTATGGGGCCTAGCGTTGCCATGAAGCAGCATCACTTGACGAGACAAAAGGCAAAGGTTTTTTCTTTTGAATGCTGATTTGTGAGCCTTTAATGACATCACATTTTCTGTTTGCATCAATATTTGTGCTGCTTTCTAAGAAATAAATGAGTAACACTCATCAAGCACCCCTAAAGACGCGCGTCAATTTTGGACACGCGGTCGTGAGAGACGGGTGTGGGAAAACTGACGTCACTCGGCACTCAAAAAACCAAATTTGAAAAACTGAAACTTTTTAGAAAACTGAAAGTATGACAATTCACAAACTTTTTACAGATTTAAATGATCTTTATTAGTTTAGAAGATATGACAAATATTGACTTACTTTGCGAATACCCCTCGTAGAATCACAATTCAAACAATCTATTTGATAAACGACACAAGAGATTTGTTAGGTCAGTCTTATTGATTTTAAAGGGGACCAAACGAACGAAAGATTGTTGTAGTTAAGGTCCACTGCAGCAAAATGAAATTTTCTCAGCATGGATGAGATATTCTCAGAGAGGAGCGGCACATAAGGTAAAGGGTATCCCAGGTTAAGGGCACCAAAATGCCCCTCCTCACGGATTTTGAATTTAATGGTCTAAACCCCTTCAGGAGGTCCTAAAAACATGGTTTTGGGCAATTTTAACCCCCTGACCCCAACCACCCCCCCTCCAGCCCCGAAAAACCCATTTTTCGGGGAATTTTGGGGTATTTTCACGTTTTATTTCATATCTCCCGCGTTTTTCAATGAAAATGCACCAAAATTTCACCAAATGTACATCAGGGCAATCACATTCTTGGGTAAAAAAATCAAATTAATCGAAATATATTTAGACTCCGAAAAAAATTCGTGAAAATCGTAAATTTTCAATTTTTTTCAGATTTTAGCGGTTTTAAAAAAAATGAGGACACATACATTTTTTTTTATAGGTAATATACCCAGTTGTTACCAAAAAACATTTCAAGCCTTCACGCGTGGTGCGTCCCACCGAAAAAATAGTTTTTTGGGCGCCAAAACGGTCAAAATGGCTCTTTTGGCAACGGTTTACTCGCACGCTATCAAGATAGTAACACTAAAATCTCTAATTTTTGGTTTCAATGTTTCAAGAAGCATGCCCTAGTATCGTCAGAAAAGGTTTCAAGTCGATCGAGTCCTTACGCCCCACGTAAAGTACCGGTTTTTGGCGCTAAAATGGTCAACATTCCTATTTCAGAAGAGGTTACTCGCCGTAGGGTGGCCCTTATTTTTGACTTTACGGAATTTAAAGTGCAAAGCCCTGCAAATGGTTTCATTTGATGAGAAAATAACTGGGAAAAAATAAAAATGGAGAAAAAAATATTTTAAAACGCACCTCAAAGAGCCTAAAGTTCCGAGCGTGGCGTGCGAAGACGCGTTTTTTCGTCATTTTGCGAATTTTTTTCCTCCCGTTGAAATGTTTCTACGGCTTTGAAGTTTTTGTAGGTAACATACTTTTTAGAGTACTTTACGAGAAAAATAATGAAATTTACCTCGCCCATCACACATCATGCGATTTCGTCGATTGTTCATAAACATTCTCCCGGCACAGTTTGCCTGAACGAGTTTTGGCAGCCAAACGAGGCCACTAGCCACTTTGAAGGGGAAATGGGGTATTTTAAAAGTAGCGAGGTAAATGTTGTTATTTTTTTCGTGAATTACCATAAAATATGTGATACCTACTTCAGAAAATTTCAAAACCGAAGCAACAATTTAAAGGTGGAAAAAAGACACGCCGCGCGCCGCGCGGGTAGATTGTAAGGGAAAATCGGCAAAATCGCACGACATAGCCTCTTTGATGAGGTAAAAAGGGCATTTTAAATTGGGCGAGGTAAATTTCATTATTTTTCCCGTAAAGTACTCTAAAAAGTATGTTACCTACAAAAATTTCAAAGCCGTAGAAACATTTCAACGGGAGAAAAAAAATTCGCAAAATGACGAAAAAACGCGTCTTCGCACGCCACGCTCGGAACTTTAGGCTCTTTGAGGTGCGTTTTAAAATATTTTTTTCTCCATTTTTATTTTTTCCCAGTTATTTTCTCATCAAATGAAACCATTTGCAGGGCTTTGCACTTTAAATTCCGTAAAGTCAAAAATAAGGGCCACCCTACGGCGAGTAACCTCTTCTGAAATAGGAATGTTGACCATTTTGGCGCCAAAAACCGGTACTTTACGTGGGGCGTAAGGACTCGATCGACTTGAGACCTTTTCTGACGATACTAGGGCATGCTTCTTGAAACATTGAAACCAAAAATTAGAGATTTTAGTGTTACTATCTTGATAGCGTGCGAGTAAACCGTTGCCAAAAGAGCCATTTTGACCGTTTTGGCGCCCAAAAAACTATTTTTTCGGTGGGACGCACCACGCGTGAAGGCTTGAAATGTTTTTTGGTAACAACTGGGTATATTACCTATAAAAAAAAATGTATGTGTCCTCATTTTTTTTAAAACCGCTAAAATCTGAAAAAAATTGAAAATTTACGATTTTCACGAATTTTTTTCGGAGTCTAAATATATTTCGATTAATTTGATTTTTTTACCCAAGAATGTGATTGCCCTGATGTACATTTGGTGAAATTTTGGTGCATTTTCATTGAAAAACGCGGGAGATATGAAATAAAACGTGAAAATACCCCAAAATTCCCCGAAAAATGGGTTTTTCGGGGCTGGAGGGGGGGTGGTTGGGGTCAGGGGGTTAAAATTGCCCAAAACCATGTTTTTAGGACCTCCTGAAGGGGTTTAGACCATTAAATTCAAAATCCGTGAGGAGGGGCATTTTGGTGCCCTTATCCTGGGATACCCTTTATGACTTTTGAAGGATCAATGGCTGGTTTTTTATGAGAATTTGTACCAGCATCGGGCAACCTTAGGGTTTTAATGACTGCATCAAAAGTAATCATCAAAAGTTGTTTGTTTGTTCTATAAACGTCTTTCAGACGATATTATCTAATACTGTCACAAAGATGATCTTGACAATGTTTTCCTTTTTTTCAATAATTTTTCGAGCAATATCAAATTTACACTCGAACGTGAAATCAACAACTCTTTAAATTTCTTAGATGTCTCTGTCATAAAATACAGAGGAAAATGTATCACGTCATGGTTTAAAAAACCAATAATTTCTGGTTGATATCTCAATTTTTTATCTATACAACCACTTCCACAAAAAATCAATGTAGTAAAAAATCTTGCAAATGTATGTTTGCTGACACATGCTTTGCTCAAAAAAGACAAAATAAAAGAGGCAAAGCAATTGTTGATTGAGAATTGTTACCCATGGTCACTTATCAAGTTTGCAGAGGTAATAAATTCTTGCTACTGACAACAGAATTGCGATCTCAAAATTCAAAAAATAATGACAAGTAGCAGAAATTATGGAACAAATCGATGCGATATATCGCACATTGCTCTGACACAAAAAATGGTGTCCTTCGAATCACTTTAATATTTTTTACGAACTTACTTCAAAAATTTAGTTTAACTATTAAAAATATTTGCCTAAAAATGTCATTGTTTTCTGAGAAGAAAACGTAATGCTTAGCTCTGCGATAATTGAAAAAAAGGAGGGGAGGAGGCGTTTCAGTCGCGCCTTGCGGAATTCTTAGAGGGGGCGGGGTTAATGGATGCCTTACAAAGGGAAGAGGGGGGTCTAAAAATGGGAAAAAGTACGGTACGTAATTTATGAATGGCCCCTAATGCGTTTATCTGGATTGGTAGGAACAATTAATTTCACTAAATCATATTCGCAAGGAACATAATGTGAAAGAGAAAAATTATGGAAAAAATGAAAACAGATTAGACTTACTTTTGTACATCTCTTGGTGCATTGAAATTTAGCTGCTTTGGTTTTTAATTGAGAGCAATTGATCTCCTTACTCATGGACCCACAACAACATTTGACAGATGTTTTAAGCACGCACATGGGACATGAATTCTCATGACACTTTTCTTGACATGAGTGGTGTTTGAGAGGTGGGCCACAGGAAAAAATTTTTCCGCAGATAGCATCACAGGTTGGCAAAGGATCTGCACAAGATTGTCTTGAACAAAGTTGATCTAGTGTTAAAGATGTTTTCCCACACCAACATGTTTTTGCCTTGTCTGGGAGGAACTTACACAGCTCGCATTCTCCCTCGTGACAAACTTTTTTGCATTTATGGGTTTCACAGCGCAGCATCCGATTGCATAGCTTGCCACAATTGAAACGTGCATCATTTAAGGGCACTGTTCCACAGATTACCGTTTTTATTTCTTTGCCACAGTGGCAAGCTAAAAACAAAACAATAATTCGACTTAAGTTGGGTGTAATTTTTCCTGATTTCTGACTTTTCCCTTTGGGAACGCCATTCAAGAGCCTATGCTCCTACTTTTCTTTTCCATTCCATTAGGCTCTTTCACGATAGGAGTAATTCTCTGGTGTCACACCAATTCATGTCGCTGTCAATTCAAGAGCTTCTCTCTCTGTTTTCTTTACATATTAATGTTATTTAATGATAGACGGTATAAAGTTGTACATTTTTCAGGTTTTATCTGCAAGGATAATAAAACTTTTCCCACACCTACAGAGCAAGTAACCTAAAATCTCTTTGTTGCCTTCGGTCTCCATTCTTCAGTTTTGAGGAAACACTCCTGCCAGCTGGAGATTTCTGCACGTAGGCTAGGGAAGCACCGCTGCCCCTGAGTAATGGGCAATTTTTTTTTTTTTTTCAAGTACACTAATAACAGTGGTCAACATGGGTTCTATCCTTCGAACCAAACCAATTTTTTTCGATTCCTAGGTGCTAAAGAAGCCCGAAAATGGCCATATTAACTTCAGGAAATTTTCCTGGTCCTCAGGGCGCCGCCATTTTGAATTTTTCAAAGTTGAGAAAGCCCACGATTAGATTCTTGCAAATATCTCCTTAACGGTTCATCTCAAGAAAAAAACAAAAAAACCAGCGGAAAGAACGTAAAATTTCCTACCGAAATCACCCTCCTTTGTTTTTTCTAGCTTAATTTTTTGGTCGTGAAATTAAAGTTTTCTTCAAAAATTAGCTTTAAAAAGGCGCATTTTTGCTGATTTTAGGAGAAACTTTGCTTCATACCTCCAGTCACGATTATCTAAGAAAAAAACTGTTATGCTCATTGAAAAAAGAGCGTAAAATTTACTTCTAGAAAACATACAGGGTGATCCAGACCACCCGTCCACTATCTTTTTCTCGAAAACGGCGGAAAATTGAGCTTCGGAACCAAAACATTCATACGGTAAATCGACCCCAAAGAATCGAATGAAAATATTTTCAGCCCCCCGAAATTGCCCCTTGGGGGGTATTGGGGGGAGCCCCCCCCCGTTTCTCGCAATTTTCAAATAGGAAGGGTATTTTTTACTTTAGATTTGAAATCTACGGTAAAAAATAAGAACATTTAATTCTTTGCACTTTTCCCCTAAACCCCCATTTTTGGAGTTATGGGGCATTTTCAGGCCTCTTTGGGGCGATTTTCAATTCGATGCTGTAAGCGGCCAAATTATCCAAATTTCAAAATCTAAAAATCCCCTGAGAGGAGAGGTCAATACATTTTTATTGATGTGCCACATGACCTCTGTTGCTCCAAAATTTTGGGGCTTTGGAGGGCCGTAAGTCGAAAATTTCAAATTTCAAGGGTATGTTTTGATTTCAGATTTGGATTCTACGCGAAAAGTTACGCAGAATTGTTATGGCGCATGGCCTGTTTTCTCAAATTCTTTTTTGCCCCTTATTTTCTCCAAAAATACACGGCTTCTTATGGGGAAAAGGGGTTCTTCGGTAATTTGGAGCGAACAGGTCTTGCGCCATAATAATTGTAGGTAAATTTTCGCGAAGAATCCAAATCTGAATTCAAAACATACCCTTGCCATTTGAAATTTTCGACTTACGGCCCTCCAAAGCCCCAAAATTTTTGGGGGGTCGTGGCCCCTAAAATTTTGGAGCAACAGGGGTCATGTGGCACATCAATAAAAAGGTATTGACCTCTCCTCTCAGGGGATTTTTAGATTTTGAAATTTGGATAATTTGGCCGCTTACAGCATCGAATTGAAAATCGCCCCAAAAAGGCCCGAAAATGCCCCATAACTCCAAAAAATTGGGGTGTAGGGAAAAAGTGCAAAGAATAAAATGTTCTTATTTTTCACCGTAGATTTCAACTCCAAAGTCAAAAATACCCTTCCTATTTGAAAATTGCGAGAAACGGGGGGGGGGGCTCCCCCAATACCCCCCAAGGGGCAATTTCGGGCTGAAAATATTTTCATTCGATTCTTTGAGGTCGATTTACCGTATGAAAGTTTTGGTCCCGAAGCTCAATTCTCCGTCGTTTTCGAGAAAAAGATAGTGGACGGGTGGTCTGGATCACCCTGTCTGTCAATAGTTCCTAAACTTGATTTAATCCTGTGAAACAGCAGTTTATTAACTCCACCCTTAAAACGTGATTTTTTCGACCATTTTCCTTAGAACCACGAAAAAAAGAGAAAACACCCTAAAAACGTTACCCGAACTGTATAAAAAGGTGGCGAAATAGTGCTGGGTCCACTCTATTTTGCAAACAAAGCCAAAAAGTTCCAACATTTTTAATCAGAGTCAAAAATTTTGAGCTCAAATGGATAACCACTACGGCAGTACATAACTGAAGGGGAAGAGCGTTCGGCTCAGACAATTAGCATTAGAATATTAAGTAGAGGTCACGGCGAGAGATCTATAATTTTGAGTCTTGTTATAGACCTCGTCAGTAGATCACACTCGTCAGTGAGATCAAAAAGCCAAAAAGTTCAAAAATTTTCAATCAGAGTCAAAAATTTTGAGGTCCAATGAGTACCAGTACGAAACTTGCTGTCATCCAATACAAAACTTGTACTTCTAACTTAAGCTTTGATGCCGTCTTGGATTTTGCGAGATTTTCAGTTGGGTTCACATGACGAGTGTGATCTATTGATGAGGTATAAAAAGACCCAAAATTATAGATCTCTCGACGTTACCTCACCTTAATATTCCAATTCAAACTACTTGAGCTGAACACTCACCCCCCTCAGTTTTGAACTGATACTCATTGGAGCTCACAATTTTTGACTCTGATTGAAAATTTTGGAACTTTTTGGCTTTGTTTGCAAAATAGAGTGGACCCAGCACTATATTGCCACCTTTTTACACAGTTCGGGTTACGTTTATAGGGTTTTTTTTCTTTTTTTTTTTCGTGATTCTAAGGAAAATGGTCGAAAAAATCACATTTTAAGGGTGGAGCTAATAAACTGCTGTTTCACAGGAGTAAATCAAGTTTAGGAACTATTGACATATGTTTTCTAGAAGTAAATTTTACGCTCTTTTCAATGAGCATAACAGTTTTTTTCTTAGATAATCGTGACTGGAGGTATGAAGCAAAGTTTCTCCTAAAATCAGCAAAAATGCGCCTTTTTAAAGCTAATTTTTGAAGAAAACGTTAATTTCACGACCAAAAAATTAAGCTAGAAAAAACAAAGGAGGGTGATTTCGGTAGGAAATTTTACGTTCTTTCCGCTGGTTTTTATGTTTTTTTCTTGAGATGAACCGTTAAGGAGATATTTGCAAGAATCTAATCGTGGGCTTTCTCAACTTTGAAAAATTCAAAATGGCGGCGCCCTGAGGACCAGGAAATTTTCCTGAAGTTAATATGGCCATTTTCGGGCTTCTTTAGCACCTAGGAATCGAAAAAAATTGGTTTGGTTCGACGGACAAACCAAACCCCGAAATTTGTTGTGCTGTGTAATCTTTCAGAGATTCCAATCACAAAACTTTACTCGATTTCGAAAAAAGTACTGCAAAGTACCTGCCAAGTACTGCAGCTCCATGAAGGGACTCATGTAAAAGTCCTTGGGTTTTTTAATTTGACTTGCAACATCGGTCCACCTTAATGGTGGTATCTTGAGTAGAGGAAGGCACTCGGCCAGAAAAATCTATTATTTAAAACAGAGGCAAAGGTTGTTAGGCAAGCTGAACTACCTCTCCTGTGTATTTTTGGCTGCTAAATCCAAAAATGACCTTACTTTTTCTCCGTTGTCCGCAGATTTTCTACAAAATTGAATTAAACTGGAAAAAGATTAAACTCTGGGGGGGGGGGGGGGGACTTTTCTTAACACAACTTAACTGATCCAGAAGAACAGGGGTCATTTTTTTAAGCAGCCCTAACAGTCCACCTGAAGCTGGTTTTCATTTTTTTTTTTTTTAATGCAAAACTCACAAACAATTATTTTTTGAGCAATGGTATTATCATGTTGTGATGATTAATAATTGTAATGTATGATTAATTCTTGTATAATTAACAAGAATACTATATTCTCCCTGTAATTATAAAACCATTAGCCTTCTTTTAAAGATGCTCATGTGAACCCCTGTAACTTTCTTTCTTTTTTTAATACCCACAGAGGCTATTAGTGCAACATCACAGAAATATCTTCGCATCAATATTTTCGCATTAGTAGCATTGAGAGAGGTTATGCCAATGTTATTGTTTGGATCCAATTCGATATTATGGAGAATCCCTATGATGACGTCGCCACTAATGGCGTCTATTAGGGTTGAATCTAAGAACACTTAGCAAAGCCTTCTTATTCAAATGCGCCATTTTACAATATTGCAACTTAAAGTGGTTAGCAGTTATACCATGAAAAACAGATAAAAATCTCTTTAAAAAACCCTGTATCTCATCATGAGACACACAAAATCATACAAACGTTCACCCGTCGCTAACAAACCTGTATCGCTAATCAGCTGTTACACCATACATTTTCAAAGACATAGAACTCGATATTATTATTTTAATAGCTTAGTTGACGGATTTTTTACTTTTTTCCAAATCGGATACATTGACATATTATTTGCCACCATTTCATTACTGCTGGCAAGAAATTTTTATATTCATGGTAATGATGAGTTTTAGAGAAAATTCACATTTCCAGATTTACTTTGTGTGAAAGAGTGATCGAATTTTCATCATTTTCGTTTGCATTTGTATCATCTTAGAGTATATAAGGGAGTTTAAGAAATAATAAAAATCAGACTCAATATGTTCACAATATTATAGTGATTGGAAGAGTGAAGGGATTAACTTGTGTGTTCGAAAGTTACTTTACACTTTGATCTTAGCCATTGAGGCCGAGAAGTGATGTGTCAAAGCATGTGTGCGAAAATCAGTGCTGATAATGCTGCAAAAAAATTGTTTATCAAAACATACCAGAATTATATATACCGCATCAATCGAGTAAAATATGGCGAAAAAGAATCAATGAT